GTGGAACTTAGAGGAGGGGAAATCTAATTTGACTCATGTTTTCAGTCCATGTTTGACTGGTTTGAAGGCAAAGGTCATGGTAGAGCAAAGCTGCTCATTTGATGACAGTTTGGAAGCAGAGCAGGGGGTTGGTACTAGCAAGAGATATATCCTCCAAGGCAGGACTGCAATGACCCACTTCCACCAACTGGGACCTACCTCCTAACAGTAATTTCAGCTGTGAACCTCAGAGAGTTAATCCATTAATGAGTATAAGACCCCCATTGTCCAGCCACCTTTTTTGACTGTCACATATAGTAAGAATTTAAAGCACTGCAATGATACTTTTTATTTAGTAGACATATGTGTAACAATAAATTCATCTTAGTAGAGTTAGTGATCTTTTGCTCAGAACCTACCACTGGGACAATAGTCTCAGCTCAGAAGGAATTTAAGATCATATTGGGGGTTAAGGTGTACAAACTCAGGTGCCTTCAGTGTGCAGTCAGCTAACACATGGCTGACCTAGACAAGTGTAGGCAATAAGGAGTGGTGGCAGCCTTGGAGCACGAGTGACTGCACATTCCCCTTAAACAAATTCCAACTCAGAGCTTTCTTATACCATTATGATAGGCAAAGGAAACAGTTTTCTGGGAAAATTCAGCCTATTAGGTCGGACTTATTCTGTGGATAGACAACCTTTTGGTGTTCCAGTTATCTATAGCTGCATAACAAACCACCCCCAAACTTAAAGTGTTACAGCACCAATACTTATCTTTTTTCTCTCATGTTTCTGGAGGTCACTAGGCTCAGTGGTGTGGTTCTTGCTCATGACCCTTCATGTAGTTGCAGTCAGGTAGTGGCTTGGGTTGGAGTCATATGGAAGGCTGCCTCTCTCACATGCCTAGTGGTTGACTCTGGTTGGTAGCTGGAGCCCATACATATGATTTCTGTGTGTATCTCCGGCTTCAATAAACTCTGAAGAGCAAGTTTCCCGAGAGAGATGGAAAGAAGGACGGAGAGTACGCTTGTATGCATTGGGGGAGGTTGTATTACCCTTAATTGCCTATCCTTGGAAGTCACAGATTGTAATTTCCACTACGTCTTACTCTTTAGAAGTGTGTTGCTAAGACTCACCCAAAATCAAGAGGAGAGGAATGTAGACTCTGCCTCTTCTTAATGGGAGGAATGCAGACAAGTTTGCAAATACTTATTAAAACTAGTACAGGTAGGTTTATTTTACAGAATAGTAAAATTGAATATATAGTAAACTTGAATATAATAAAGGAGATGTACAGAATGCTGAACAGCTGGTTTTGCATGGGCACTGAACAAGCAGAAGAGATAATATAATCAAATCCTGCTAGGATCTATTGATAAAGCTGTTTAATATGAGCTTGGGGGGTAATCAAGGCTCCAAATGTACCCTTGAGTCATTAGGAGCACTGGAGATTCAGGAATGGTAACATCATGCATCTGAGGTGAAACGTTTTAGTTTTCTTTGCTGAAGTTTCAAAAGTCCTATCAGGGAGTGATTCATTATTTTGTGTTTTTCACCTTTGTCTATCAATATTTGGTTTGCTGCATGGTACTTATTTGAATATTTTGAAGGTTTATTCTTGCTAAAAAGAGGGGAGTTAAGGAGGATGGGAAGAGAAGGGACAAGCTCTAGGAATACACAAGATCTATTGTATATATTTTGGGTTACCCCAGTGTTCTTCAGTAATCAAGTGGAGAGGTATGTGGATTCTCTAACCTGTAATCCCTGGGTTCTTTGGGTAGAGTTTAGTTTCCTATTATTGCTCTAACAAATTGCCACAATTGTAATAACTTAAAGCAACATACGTTTATCTTATAGTTCTGCATATCAGAAATGTGGACTGGCTTAGTTGGTTTCTCTGCTTTGAGGCTCAGATGGCTGAAATCAAGGGTTAGCTTGACTAGATTGTATCAGGTGCTTCTGCAAGGGCTCCCTTTTCAAGCTTATTGATGGTGGAATCCAGTTCCTTGTGGTTGTAAGTTCGAGGTCTTTATTTTGCTAGCTGTTGCCTGGGAGCCACTCTTTGCTCCTACAGACTTTTCTCTGGTAGCTTCTAAACCTTAGAGCCAGCAAAAGTGTATCAAATTCTGTTCACCTTTGGACTCTCCCTGACTTTACATCTGCAGTATCTCTTCTGACTGCCTCCTCTGTTGTATCTCTTAGATTCCAATAAAAAAAGTTGTCTGCTTTAAGGGTCCATGTGATTTGATCAGATCTACCTGGATAATCCAAGATAAACTCCCCATTTTAAGGTTTTTAACTTTAATTAAATCTGCAGTGTTGTATTTATTGTGTAATGTAACACATTCACAAGATCCTGAGGATTAGGATGTGACTGTAGTTTTAGTTACTATAGGTAGCAAGTTTAGGTCAATAATGTTGCTTTCTTTTCTACCTGTTTTCTCAAGAAAGTAGGACAGCCAGTGAGTTTGTATTAAACACTGGGACTTCATTGAAATATTTGCCTTAAATATGAAGGGCAAATATGCATTCTATGGAAATAAGTCTAGGTTTCAGTTTTAACAAGGCACTCTCTTTCTTGATTTCTGGGAATGTCTTTGATATACTGCTCAAGATAACTGCTTTGAAGTCAGATGGACCAGAACTTGTGCAAGCATATAATGTTTCTAAGTCTAATTGTCCTCATCTGTGAAATGAGCTAATAACTCCTATAGTTGCTATGGGGAAAATACCTGTGAATAAAGTACTTAGGATAAAATAAGTCCTTAGTGGATGTTTTAGTTACTTTTCTCTTTGCTGAGACAAAATACCCAATGCCCAAAAGTTAAAAGAGGAAAGGTTTATTTAGCTCACAGTTTGTAGAGGTTTCACTCTCTAATGGCCTGGCTCCAAGCCAGGATGGTGTGGCAGGCAGGCATCGCAGAGGAGAAACAGTTCACGGGGGGAAGAAGGTAAGGATGACCACAGCTCTTTCTATCCCTTATATTTTATCCAGACTTCTTAGGGCGCGTAGCACTCACACCCTTTATCCTAGTGCCCCTGGTCATAGTATCGCACCATGAATTGATTCCAGCATCACTTATTCTAGATTCAGTTACCTCTCAAAAAGCCCCACCTATGACTGCATGAGGCTTTGGAGGGATGTCTAGACACAAGCCATATCAGTGGATGTTAGGTAATAATAAAGATGATAATAAAAGGGGGACATATGCATAGACTTTCTTCGAGGTTGGAAGAAAGTGTGAGTGGACCCACTAGAGTCAGTAGTTGGGTTTTATGTCGGTTTCATATTAGCTTGATGTAAATTAATTTATTAGTTTGGTATACAGTAATTATTTTCTTAGACAAAAGTGAGTAAAATGATTGTTTTGAAAAAGGTATTTACACAAGTTTTTTATTTCTTTCTGTGGTGTTAGGGATTGAACCCAGGGCATCAGGCATGCTGAGCAGGCCTCGTGGTACTGAGGTATATCCCAGGCCCTGTACGAGTTTAATTTTGAGCAGTTTAGTTTAAGATGAATTGTTTGGTTTTAATCACAGAGGGCACAAAGATAAAGGACATAAAACTCACAAAGATCTAAACCGAGGCTTGGCAAGCTTCAGCTTGTGGGCTGAGTTGTACCGCCTTTCTATTTTCATACAGCCCAGGCACCAGGGGTAATTTCTACAGATAAGTGTTTGAAATTCGCTGATGATGGGAAGTGATAACTTTGAACTACAATTAAGCAAAATGTTATCCTACCCCAAAGAATTCCATTCTTCTCATTAATATTCCTCTATTACAAAATTGTACTTGATTATTATATTTGTCAGTACAATATAATATAAATTTGTGGAAAGGTTGTTCTCAAATATCTATATAATTTCCTTGGTCTTGCCTATTTGCCCACAAAGTCTAAAATGTTTGCAGTATGACTTTTACATAGAAAAAAGTTTCCAGTCCTGATCTAAGTAAACTAATTTGTGTTCAAGATGAAGGTGTAGAGAAGAAGGTGTGTGTTCAAGATGAAGGTGTTCACAGCTGTCAGGAACTCCCAAGATCTTCTAATCCAGTTCTTTAACTTTATGGTAAAACCATACCCCAGGATTGTCAGGAACTGTTCTAATACAACTCAACTAGCTAGTGATAGAGATAGCACCAGCTGTTAAACGTTTTGCCACTTAAATCAGTAAACTTCTCATTGGAGCAAGTAGACTTTCTGGGTAGCATGATGATACTTTATTCATCTCTCTTTAAATGGATCTCCATGTTCTTACCAGTTTTAAACCCTTTAATGAACAGTATTATGGTTTATATCTGGATACCCTGCAAAGACTCATGTGCTCAGAAGTGGGGCTGTGGAAGGTGACTGGATCACAGGGGCAGTACAGCTGCCTTGAAGTGGGGGGGTTGGGGCCTGGGCGGAAGAACTGTTCCTCGCCTCTCTGCTTCCTGGCTTCCGTGCAAGCAGCTTTGCTTCTTCTATGCTGCTGTGACATGCTGCCCTGCTTTGGAGCCAGCAGATGATGGACTCAAACTGTGAGCCAAAATAACGCTCTCCTCCTTTGAGTTGTAGGTGTTGGATATTGTGTTCCAGCGATGAGAAAAGGGACAAAGACAAACAGCTCAGAGGTGATGTAGCATAGAAATATAGTTGTCCCTTGGACCTATTGAACAGGGCCTGGCAAACAGGGCCTGTTGCTGTTTCCATCTGCAGGGAGAGCCCTTTAGACTCTAGAATTTCTCATTAGAGCTTTTTCTGAAGCACTGGTGCCGACTTTTTCTGTTAAGTTACTAACAGTGAATAACCAGAATAACCAGGCATGTTAGTATGTTCTCACTAAACTATGTTCAGTTTAGGGTGAGATTGTTTATTGGGCAGAGCAGTGACCGTAACTGAGGCACTACTTTCCCCTTGTGCCCAGCATCCCCACTGTTCTATGGTTATCTGCTAGTAAGTCCAGTCATGCCGTGTTTGTCTTTACCACCATCCTTGCTAGGTAATGATAATCGCTCTGGTGTTTGTTTCTCTTCCCGCAGGTGGTTTACAAACCCAACAACTGTCAATGCCTTCTATAGTGCGTCTACCAACCAGATCCGTGAGTACTGGCTTTGCATTTTGTTGTTAGTTTGGTATCAAATAGAAGGAACTTTTCAGTGCCTATAATGAAAGGCCAGACATTCTTTATTTTCTCCCAAAAGTGACCAGATGTGTTGATGAAAGAATACTATTCTTGCTGGGGTCTCCTCATCTCTCCTACCTCTTCATACTGACATGCCTAATGCCCAGTCCTGGTGCTTCTTCTCTTTGCCTCTGTTCTCTATCTTTGCTGGCTTCTCTTGTGTAACATTTAATCTCATGGCTTCAATCACATTTCTACACTGTTGAATGGAGTGGTTGGAATGTACTATCTTTGTTCATGCCACCACCATCTCCCACCTGCATTATGGGAATAGCTTTCTCACTGGCCTCCCTTCTTCTGTGCTTACCCCTGCAACCAGTTAAGATGTTTTATAAGATCATGTCATTCCTTTGTCCAGAGCCTTTTGCCAGCATCTCATCTTGCTCAGCCCAAGAAACACATTGCTTTCAATGTCCTGGAGCAGTGGTGGCGAACCTATGGTACACATGCCGCAGCAGACTGTGTTATCACGAAAAACTCTAAAAGGTTTGCCATCATCGGCCTTGGCCCAAAAGGCTTATTATCATCCTGCCTTTATCTCCTCTTGTACTCCATCTCTCCCTCACTCCCAGTTCTATTGGTCTCCTTCATGTTCCCAGAGTGCTTATGATACACTGCTCCCTTAGGGCATTTATATGTGGGGTTCACTTTCATTTGAAAAACTTGCCAAGAGATCGTCATGGTTCACATTTCCATTTTAAGTCTTTGCTCAAAAGATACCCTCTCAGTGAGGCAGTCAGCCTACCCTCTGGCCAGAGAGCCACACTGTGTAGGGCTTCTGAGTGGTCCCTTGCCCCTGCAGCACTTTAAGAAGAGGGCAGAGGGCACAGCCAGAGGGCTATGGCTTTTCTCTACCAGAGTCACCCTCCTGTGGCCTCTATTGAAAATGGAAGTCCTTGCAGGACTGCGGTCTGTGCGAATAATGAACAGAGGGAAAACAAGCAGATGGTGCTAATGTTTTATTTCTACATTAATTTATATGGCCAAATAAGTTGTTAAATATTTTGAATGTCACTCCTTACTATATAAATATTCATTATCGTGAAAATACTGTTGCTTTCTTAAGTTTCTACCCTCCAATTTGGGAACTAAGCTGCATATGTTATATGGAAACTTAATGATATTTGAGCTATTAATTATCACTAAAGTTTATAATATTATTTAAATATAGTAATTATACTAGTATTTAAAATATTCTTTTGGGCAATAGATGTTGCTTATTCATTTTAGAAGAAAATTTTTTCTTACATAAAACTTGGTACATACAAAAGAATATGTGTAACATGCTGGCATATGTTAAGTTATAAAGCATATAAGAAAACATAGAATAACTATGTGCCTATGAAGCCATCATTCAATGAAGAATCAGAACATTACTAGTACCAGTGCAATAACCCATCTACTTCACTATCCCATTCACTCTCACCATATAGGTGATGACTGTACTGATTTTTGCATTTATCTTTTCCTTTTTTAGAAAAAAGAAAATGTTAACAATTTATGTAGGAATCCTCAAGTCACATGGTGTTTATTTTTAGTTTTTAGCATGAGAAAAACGCTATTGTACTATGCGAAATCTTAGGCAACTGTGTTTTTCAATTAATATTTTACTTTTAGGATTCATACACATAGCACATAGCAGTAGGTTTTTCAGTGCTGTATAGCATTTCCTTGTGTGACTGCACCCTAGATTATTATGTGCTCTGCTATTGGTAGATCTGTGTATCCCCCCACCTTCCCAGCATTTTGCTCTTGTGAGCATCACTGCGCTGAATAATCTTTTGTATGTCTCCTGAAACAAGATGCAGGTATACACCCAGAAGGGCAATTACTGCCTGGTAGGGTATGCAAATACTCCACTTTACCAGAGAACAACAAATGTTCTTTAATGCATGCCAAACTACAGAAGTGTTTCTGTTCTTCCTTGTCTTTTTTCAGTTCTTGGCACTGTTAGACTTAATCAGTGTAATAGATCAACTCTTCTGGAAGAGAAGACAATGGGATAGTCTCTTCAGTGTTTCCACGCTTATTTTCAAATGTCACTGAAGGCCCCTGCTCCTGTGGGGACTTTAGTGCGTCTAATAATAGCTCTGCCTTCAGGGTTTACCCCTGCTCTGCCTTTTCCTGGTCTGGGAAGAGCTGATCCTCTCAGAGGTTTACTCAGAAAGAAGCCATTTCAGGGTAACCGAATGGACTCTTGAAAGCTCACGGGCAGAGGGGCTTTGAAGTGAACAATTTGAAGCAGTATTTTAATTAAGAGATTCAAGCTGTTTCTATTTTCCTTATGACCAGTGCTTGCTCTTGTTGTAAATTGCATTTCTAGGCACGATGACAAGGAATCCTTTGGGTGACTTTCCCCCTCTTTCCTTTCTAATATTCTGGACTACAAATTAAGACAGGTGAAGTTTCTTCCTACACATTTCCTTACTAGGTCCTGGGACTTCCCCCCAAAACTCCCCCTTACCGCCTTCTTTTTTGCTTCACTGAAGAAGTGAAAAATTGAGGTGATTTTCTAAAATGAACATCTTTATTGATTAGGGGCTGATTCTGACAGCATGTGGCCATCTGTTTAATTGGGTTCCACATCTACGATGTAACTATACTTAGTAGCATGATTTATGAGAATTTCATTCAGTTCCCATTATCATTTTCTGATTTATGCCACTTAAGTCTGCTTCTACAAGGAGTTGAGACTTGAGTAGAAAATAGACAAATCTACAATGTTGTTATTTTTTCCCAAATCCATACCTGTGTGTGAAAATCCTCTGGTTCTTGACCATCTTCCAATGTTCAATTTTTGTAGGGTGGTTGTAGCTTCTTATTTTTCTACCCTTGTTAATCTAGATAGCCCTGGCTTCAGACATAGAGTGTATTGTGAACTCATAATGATTTAAATGTGCCACCTGAGGAGTTATACTCAGGAGCTATCATATAATTTAATTATATTTGAATTAATAAGATAAAGAGGAAAACAAGGAGCTGAGAGTATTGGTGCCTTAGCCTGCGTTTCCCGGACTTTGTGTTGACTATAAAACTGGACTCTGTGCTTTTTAAAAGGAAAAATGAGAACCTCAGTGGAAGACCTTGAGTGCCATGGATCTAATTGTATTGCCATGGTTGAGATACTTATCCCTCCTGGCCCTTATTGTCTTATGTGCCACATGTTGACTTTATATAGCGCATAGAGTTTTGGGTAAGGATTTAATGGAATGAATTTGTAAAGTTGCCAGCACATTGCCAAGGTCAGTGCTGGTAGTGCTAAAATGAGCAAGTCAGGCATCCATCCGTCCATCCCTACCATAGCCAGCGCATCACAGGAGAAACAGCAGAATATGTCTTGGGAGGGAAGTTTTGAACTTTTGCTCTCAAAATGTTTTATAAATTAAAACGATATTTTTCTATATTTAAAAACTGCTACCAATTTGGAAAAGTGTTTGTTGTTATCTTCTGTTACCCAGAAATTTCACACATTGTAAGTGATTCATTAAGCCCACTAAATGACCTGTACAAGAATATTCATATCAGCTTTATTCATAATATCAAAATGCTGGAAAGGACCGACTGTTCACCAACAAAAGAATAAGTAAACAGTGGTCTAGTCATGCAATTGAATATTATACAAAAGTGAGGAAGAAAGGACTTCGGACTAAAATATATATGAATGTTACCAACTGACTTAATGCTGAATGAAAGAAACCAGGAAGAGTTCTGTCCCATGCATATACAATTCAAGAATGAGCAGATGAATCTGTATGATAGAAATTAAAATAATGGCTACTTTTATTAAGGGTACTGACTGAGAGAGATCTGTCTTGACCTAGGAGTTGGTTGCACAGGTGATACCTGTTAAGATTTCTGCCTTGGGCTGAGAGGTGCAGTTTTGGTACGGTGCTTGCCTGGCATGCATGACACCCTGGGTTCAGTCCACGGCATAGGAAACCAAAAAGATTTATACCTTCACTGTATGTAACACTGCAACATGAATAGCAACACTCCCTCCCCCTTTCCCCATAAAATGTTTAGAACTGCAGATGGTACATATACATCTCTTGCTTATACTGTAGTAGGCTGCCTCAGGCCAAGTCTTCAGAGGTGTAGACCAGGAATTGGCCAATTATTTCCATAAATTGCCATAGAGTAAATATTTCCAGCTTTGTTAGGCATGCGGTCATGGTTACAACTTCTCAACTCTGCCATTCCAGTCACCAGCAGTTCATAAATAAATGAACATGGCTGTGCTCCAGTAAAACTTTAATTACAAAATAGGCAGCAGGTTGTCTCCTAGATCAAGATGGAACATTTGCTGTGGGCTGTTGTTTGCTGATCCCTGGAGTAGAGCCCTGTGAAACGATAGGCTGCTGGGAGCTGTTGAGGTGTGCTCTGCCCTGGCTTCCATAGTGCTTTGGATCTGGTATTGGTGGAAAGAATGAACAGCTCCTATTTGATATTCATTTCTGCTAATATGGATTTGTTTTTAGAATAAACTTCATTTCATGTATTCAACGTCATTGTATTTGCAAAGTGCCTCATTATTTAGCTTTTAACTTCATATGTCTCAAAATATATTAAAGAATTATTTTAAGCGAGTAAAATCTTAGCTTGAAAACAAACACGGCCTGAGCACTAAAACCAATGATTTTATTATCTTTGTTGTTTTACACAAAGGATTTGGTTGTCCCAGTATAATCATAGATATTGTGTGAAAGAAGATAAGCCTTTGTCCAGAGGCTGGGCTTATGCTGGCATCAAACTATAGAATTAATCCAGAAATCACACATAGATTTGTTTTGCTGTTACCAAAATAACTGCTTCAGAGTGGGAGAACCTCTCATACTTCATTGGCTATGCTTAAAAGTATAAAGGAGAAGCCAAGTTGGTAAATACTCACCTGTGGCTTCTACTGGAACAGAATTAAA